CAATGGAGGGCTCTAGCAGCGGGCAGGCTCCCCCAGACAGACAACAATGCAATCATTTACAGGCCATGCGATTTATTGCTGCGTCCAAATTAGAGTGGCAGTGAGATAAAGGAAAAAATGGCACCACTATGGAGTATGAAATGTGTTCTATATCGGCATCAGCGAGGGAGAACGTCACCGGCACACCGAGGATCACCAATATGAACGATCACATAGGCCGGCCATACATGGATTGAAATTCGACCAATTTTTCATCCCAAAATGTGACCTAAGAACAATCGGCTGATTTTCGCTCTGTTAGTGGGGTCAATGGCACCGGCTGATTTTCTTGGTTCCTATCCTTTTCGGTGATTGGGCATGTTGGAAAATCCGTGACAGACGACCGATTTTCGACTCAATGATGGTCAAATCGTACGATTGTTTGTCTGAAAAGAATATGCACGTGAGCCGTGATCTGGAAGGAACAGAAGTCTCGCCTGTTATATGGGGAGAACTTTAGGACTTGGTTGGCCGATTTTCGAAATCATTGATGGCGCCATTGGATTACCGATGCGAACAATGTTTTCGATTTTCGGACGAAAAATCGTCCGGAATTCGACCCATGTACGGCCTGCATTATATGGGGTGAACTTTAGGACTTGGTCGGCCAATTTTTAAAATCATTGATGGCACCATCGTATTACCAAGAGAAAGACATTTTCGATTTTCGGACGAAAAATTCACGTGAGCCGTGACCTGGAAGGAACAGAAGTCTCGCCTGTTATATGGGGAGAACTTTAGGACTTGGTTGGCCGATTTTCAAAATCATTGATGGCGCCATTGGATTACCGAGTGAACGAGGTTTTTGATTTTCGGACAAAAAATCGGTCGGAGTCCAATCCATGTATGGCCTGCATAAGAATAATCAGCCAATTTTCGCTCTGTTAGTGGGTCAGATTTGATTTTTATGGTTCCTCCCCTTTTCGGTGATCGGGCATGTTGGAAAATTCATGAAAGACGACCGATTTTCGACTCGATGATGGTCAAATCGTACAATCGTTTTTCCAAAAAGAATATGCGCCATGAGCTGTGACCTGGAAGGAACAGAAGTCTCGCCTGTTATATGGGGGTGAACTTTATGACTCTGTTGCCTGATTTTCGAAATCATTGATGGCACCATCGGATTACCGAGCGAACTACGTTTTCGATTTTCGGATGAAAAATCGCTCGGAATTCGAACCACGTATGGCCTGCAATAGTTGCAGGCAAGGCAACGTTTCGCAGTCTCAAAGGAGCCCTTCATCAGGCATGTGACGCATGTGATGTGCCCCATGCCTGATGAAGGTGTCCTGCGAGACTGCGAAACGTTGCCTTGTGATCGTTCATGAAAACGTTTGGCCCCGTATCGGTGATCCTCGGTGTGCTGGTGACCTTCTCCCTCGCTGATTCTGTTCGCTTCCAGCCGACGGTCACTGCAGCACCCACTTATACACACCGCCATTTGTAACGCAGGAACGTGTGCGTTGAGATTGTACACTTATATATCAGCATCAATTCACAAAATCATAATGCCTGCTGGGTGTTCACTACCCTACATCCTTCCCTTGCTGCGGAATTAGGACCAGTTTACACTTCATGCGTTTCAGTTGCTATTTTTCTGCATACAAAACGCATAGAAAGTAGGTGATATGGTGGTCAGTGTCATCGTTCACATCAGCGTTTGCAGTTCCAGTGCGTTCCGGATGCAGAAAAAGAAAAGTAGAACAGGCGGCATTTTTCCTGCACAGAACTGTACTGGAACGCGGTAAAACACATAAAAAACAAAACGAAATGCACCAAAAATGCACTAGAACACACCAAAAACACACTGGAACGCACATGTCCTTATTTAAATGGAAGAAAAAGAGAGGGTAAAAAATGTACCAGAAAGCATCAAAAATGCACCAGAACAAAAACACACCGGAATGCACCAAAAATGCACTGGAAGGCACATGTCCTTATTTAACTGGAAGAAAAAGAGAGGGTAAAAAATGCACCGGAACGCATCAAAATGCATCGGAACGCACATGTCTATTTAAACAGAAGAAAAAGGGAAGTAAAAAAATGAATCAGAATGCATCAAAATGCACCGGAACGCACCAAAAACGCACTGGAACGCACGCCCCTATTCAAATTGAAGAAGAGGGGAAAAAATGCACCGGAACGCACCAAAAACACACTAGAATGCACCAAAAACGCACATGTCCACATTTAAATTGAAGAAAAAGAGGGGAAAAAAATGAACTGGAAAGCATTGAAAATGCACCGGAATGCATCAAAAACGCACTGGAATGCACATGTCCCTATTTAAATTGAAGAAAAAATTAACAAGAAAGCATCAAAAATGCACCAGAACGCACCAAAATCGCAGTGGAATGCACATGTCCCTATTTAACCACTTCCAGACCGGACACTTTCACCCCCTTCCTGACCAGGGCAATTTTCAGCTTTCAGCGCTATCACACTTTGAATGACAATTGCGCGGTCATGCAACACTGTACCCATATTAATTTTTTACCATTTTTTTGAGACAGATAAAACTTTATTTTGGTGGTATTTATTCACCGCTGAGATTTTTATTTTTTTTTGCTATGTAAATGAAAAAGTCCAAAAATTTTGAACAAAAGTGTTTTTTTTTATAAAATTTTGCAAATAAATAATATTTCATCATAAATCTTTGCCAAAATGTATTCCATTATCTTTTTACTAAAAAAAAAACAAAAACAAATTAGTTTATAACTAAAAATTATAATTTTTAAACATTTTTTTTTACATTTTTTTTTTATTTTTTTATATTATTTTTTATTTATTTATTTTTTTTACATACTGTCACCCTAGCAGTACAGTGTCACCATGGTGACACTGTACTACTTGTGGGGGGTGATGATTTTTTTTTTTTTTTTTTTTTTTTTACACTGATTGCTTTTACACCCATATAGGATGTAAAAGCAATCATTTCTCCTTCTCTCTGTCTGCATTCTTGCACTCATTGAGAAGTACTGTGTGAGCTGTGATTGGTCACACCTTGTCACATGGTACAAGGCTGTTGTGAATAGCCCTGTACCATGTGACCTCTGTGATCATTCACAGATTTCACAAGTAGTAAGCAATGATGTCACAAGTGACATCTTGCTTACTACTTTGCATGTGATCACTGATTGGCCGTCCGACGATCGGTGTTTCACTGTGTCCGGAGGACACAGCGGACACCGGATCGCGGTGCTGCGAGCTCCCAGGGAGCGCGCACAAGCAGGGTGCGGGGAGGCCGTTCATAAATGGCCACCCGACCCTGCACTGCCACCATCCGGCCGTTTATATGCAACGGCCGGTGGGAGGTGGTTAAATTGAAGAAGAAAAGAGGGGGGGAAAATGACTTGGAATGCATAAAAAAACACACTGGAACGCACCAAAAACATACTGGAACACACATGTCCCTATTTAAATTGAAGAAAAAAAAGAGGGGGGGGGGGGGGGGGGAATGAATTGGAATGCATAAAAAACGCACTGGAACACACATCCCTATTTAAATTGAAGAAAAAAAGAAGGGCACAAATTAACTGGAATGCATAAAAAAACGCACTGGAATGTGTCAAAAACGCACCAAAGGTCGGTGATATGGTGGTCAGTGTCATAGTTCACATCAGTGCTTACAGTTCCAGTGCGTTCCGGTTTGCAAAAAAAAAGTAGAACATGCAGCATCTTTCCTGCACAGAACTGTAACATTAAAAACGCACTGGAACGCCCATGTCCCTATTTAAGTTGAAGAAAAAGAGAAGGGGGAAAATGAACCAGAATGCATCAAAATGCACCAAAAATGCAATGGAACGCACATGTCCCTATTTCAATTGAAGAAAAAGAGGGGGAAAAATGAACCAGAAGGTATCAAAACCGCACTGGAACGCACCAAAAACACACTGGAACACACGCCCCTATTTAAATTGAAAAAGAAGAGAGGGGAAAAAAACACACCGGAAGGCACCAAAAACGTACTGGAACGCACATGTCCCCATTTAAATTGAAGAACAAGGGAGCTGAAGAAATTAACCAGAATGCATCAAAAACGCACCGGAACACATATACACAGATTAGTTGCAGACTGTTACACTTTTATAAATATATATATATATATATACACAGATTAGTTGCAGACTGTTACACTTTTATATATATATATATATACACACAGATTAGTTGCAGACTGTTACACTTTTTTTTATATATATAGTTTATATGAACATATACACAGATTAGTTGCAGACTGTTACACTTTTTTTTATATATATATATATACACACAGATTGTTGCAGACTGTTACACTGAAGTTAAAGAGAGGATTTTATATATATATACACAGATTAGTTGCAGACTGTTACACAATCTCTTTTATATATATATATACACAGATTAGTTGCAGACTGTTACACTTTTTTTTATATACTTATATATATTATACACACATTTTTTTTAGTTGCAGACTGTTACACTTTTTTATATATATATATATATACACATCCAACTGTTTTTTTATATATATATTCTATAATATTTATATTCACACTCAGATTAGTTGATTAGTTGCATTTTTTGCAGACTGTTACACTTTTTATATATATATATATATATATATTATATATATACACAGATTAGTTGCAGACTGTTACACTTTTTTTTTTTTATATATATATATATATACACAGATTAGTTGCAGACTGTTACACTTTTATATATATATATATATATATACACAGATTAGTTGCAGACTGTTACACTTTTCTTTTATATATATGCATATAATTTTAGTAATTAATTAATTAGTAATTAATTTGTTGTTTTTTTTTTTAAATACTGTACACCCGTTATCTAAATACATTTAAATCCAAGAGACACATCTTATGGTCAGACATTTGTTTTTATTACCATGACATTTATGCTCACAGACAGCCTTCAGGGTAGGAATAGATTTTATATATATATCATGTATATTATACACCGCACCCCAACACTTCCATCCTCAGTGAAATACCGCCCTTCCATTTCTCAGGGTGCAGCTTAAGAAATCGTGCTATAACTGGAGCCTCCATGGTGACCCACATTGGGGTGTCTGAGTCCTTGTTCCCAGGAAATATCTGAAAGACAAAGCGCAGTTTTCCTTATTTAATACCGCTCCCCTCCAGAGGATTCCCCCCCCCCCCCCCTTCCTGACCGGGCCATTTTTTGTGTTACGGCGCTGCGTTACTTTAACGGACAATTGCGCGGTCATGCTGTTGGGAATGCAACAGCATGTACTATAATGTACTATATAGTATTGTGTGTTAATATCACTTGACCAGTAGATGGCACTATAAACTAAAGGTTACTAGTTGTGCATATGTGTAAAAAAAACTTGTTGGTTCTTCCTCTTCTCTATCATCTCTTCAGGAAGTAACATGTCTACTGTTTTCACTGTCGGCTGAGAAATGTGCTCTGTTTTGTTTGTAACTTAAGCCACACAAGTAAAGTCATACTTCTGCCTCATCACTACCAGTGTCTTCTATAACACATAACCAACACATGCAACGCTGCACCCAAATGAAATTTATGTCCTTTTTTTCACACAAATAGAGCTTTCTTTCGGTGGTATGTGATTGCCTGTGTGTTTTTTATTTTTTGTGCTATAAAAGAAGACAGACAATTTTGAAAAAAAAAAAAAATGTTTTTGACTCTTTGCTATAAAACATAAAAAAAAATTTTTTTAAATAAAATTTCTTCATAAATTTAGGGCAAAAAGTATTCTGCTCCGTGTCTTTGCTAAAAAAAAAATCCCAATATGTGTAAATGAATTGGTTTACGTGAAAGTCATAGTGTCTACAAATGGCTGTATATAGACTGGAAATTTTTTTGTTATACTAGTAATGGCAGCGATCAGCGACTTAAAGCGGAACTGCGGCAGGCATTGTGACACTGGGGGGGGGGGGGGGAACTAACTGTCACTGACATCCCCAGTGACACCAACACAGTGATCAGTGCTAATATAAAGGAGAGAGACACTATGTTGTTAACACACAGACCTCTCCCTCTGGGCAAATCTGTGTACTGTACATTAGGGGGACCCCTCTGGGTGATCTGTGCACATTAGGGGGACCCCTCTGGGCGATCTATGTACATAAGGGGGACCCTCTGGGCGATCTATGCACATTAGGGGGACCCCTCTGGGCGATCTATGTACATTAGGGGGACCCCTCTGGGCGATCTATGTACATTAGGGGGACGCCTCTGGGCGATCTTATGTACATTAGGGGGACCCCTCTGGGCGATCTGTGTACATACATTAGGGGGACCCCTCTGGGCGATCTATGTACATTAGGGGGACCCCTCTGGGCGATCTATGTACATTAGGGGGACCCCTCTGGGCGATCTATGTACATTAGGGGGACCCCTCTGGGCGATCTATGTACATTAGGGGGACCCCTCTGGGCGATCTGTGTACATACATTAGGGGGACCCCTCTGGGCGATCTATGTACATTAGGGGGACCCCTCTGGGCGATCTATGTACATAAGGGGGACCCCTCTGGGCGATCTATGTACATTAGGGGGACCCCTCTGGGCGATCTATGTACATTAGGGGGACCCCTCTGGGCGATCTGTGTACATACATTAGGGGGGACCCCTCTGGGCGATCTATGTACATTAGGGGGACCCCTCTGGGCGATCTATGTACATTAAGGGGACCTGGGCGAGTGTGTGTGCATATGATGCAAGGGGCCCCTCTGGGCGATCTAGCAAAATCTAGCAATAGAGGACTGGTTGAAGAAAAAAAACAGAAAAAAAACAAAAAAAAAACAAAACAAACAAAAAAAAGAAGAAAAAAAAACACAAACAAAAACAGGATTTTTGAGGTGCCCCTAGACAGCTAAATCTGCGGAGATGACCATTCTCCAGAGGATCCCTAAATTCCAACTACAGACACAGATGTATTTTTTCTGATTTCCCAGATAGACAGTTTTCGGTTATTCTCTAAATTAAAGTGTTACTAAACCCCCAACAGTACAATCAGTCTGTAGATGCAGTAAAGCATGCTGGTTATACTCCACTATGGAACCTAAGGGGTTAATCCTCCACATTGTGTATAAAAGGCCATTTGATCCTGTCTTCTCTGATCCTTCCCTTCTTCCAGTGCCCCACCCCCCCTTTATCTCCTGATAAGACAAACTGAACCTTAGGCATTTTGCACATCCTCAGTTTGGTGTGTATTGCTAGAGAGGGTTTTTTTTTTCTTGGGAGAGTGGTGCATGTGATAAGCACAGGGCCAATCAGCACTGGTCAAACAGAGGTCACGGGTCCTGCATACTCCTAGAGCAGAAATAAAACTCTACAAGCTTTAACAAGTGCTCTGGACACTGATAGAAGTCACAAGACTGCTATATACTGCGGCATATAGTGAATGCGGGGCCCGGGGAGAGCGGATATAGTGAATGCGGGGTCCGGGGAGAGCGGATATAGTGACTGCAGGGTCAGGGGAGAGCAGATATAGTGAATGCAGGGTCCGGGGAGAGCGGATATAGTGAATGCGGGGCCCGGGGAGAGCGGATATAGTGAATGCGGGGTCCGGGGAGAGCGGATATAGTGAATGCAGGGTCGGGGAGACCAGATATAGTGAATGCGGGGCGGGGGTCCGGGGAGACCGGATACAGTGAATGCAGGGTCCGGGTAGAGCGGATATAGTGAATGAGGGGTCCGGGGAGAGTGGATATAGTGAATGCAGGGTCTGGGGAGAGCGGATATAGTGAATGCAGGGTCCGGGGAGACTAGATATAGTGAATGCGGGGTCCGGGGAGAGCAGATATAGTGAATGCGGGGTCCGGGGAGAGCGGATATAGTGAATGCGGGGTCCGGGGGAGAGCGGATATAGTGAATGCGGGGTCCGGGGAGAGCGGATATAGTGAATGCGGGGTCCGGGGAGAGCGGATATAGTGAATGCGGGGTCCGGGGAGAGCGGATATAGTGAATGCGGGGTCCGGGGAGAGCGGATATAGTGAATGCGGGGTCCGGGGGGAGAGCGGATATAGTGAATGCAGGGTCCGGGGAGAGCGGATATAGTGAATGCGGGGTCCAGGGTGAGCGGATATAGTGAATGCGGGGTCCGGGGAGAGCGGAGGAGGGAGGAGCAGGGGTGAGCTGAGCTGTAGAGCGCAGCTTTAGTGCTTCTGCTGTGATCTTTGAGGAAGAATTGTTCCACTGTAAATGCAGCTACAGAGGTCAGTGTGAGCTGATGGAGATACATACAATAAATTATGACAGCAATAAAAACTTGACAGGGGTCCTATGCCTTCTCCATTCTGTTCAAAACTAAAAAAACAAATTATGGCCGGAGTTGGGCATGAATCCTGTATAGGGCTGTGCAATAATATTCAGAACCTCCGGTACATAACGATTTGGTGGATCCTTTATCCCTTACATACCTGCTGTTGTCCGCTGGAACTTTGCACAGCTGCCCATCTGAGACCGTCATTACTGTAGCTGAGAGAGAACTCGGTGATGTACATAGAGGACAACGATCGGGCGCCTTGTATCAATATTCCGGTCACCTTCGTATCATGGCCAAGGTCCACCTGGAACCATTCACCGGGTATGTCTGCCTATGGACAAATATACCATCAGCACACTGTATGTACAACGAATACAGTACACACATGACACACACATGACACACACACGGCGCAGGAGAAAAAGAACATAGATTCTCCAAACCCCTAAACATTTCATATCCAAACCCAGATGTATTCTTCTGATTTGTCAGATACACAGTTTTCCAGAGTTCTTTAATGTAAATAAATTTTCAATGGAGATTGCTCTTCTCTTTTATATTTTCGAGGTTCTGCGTCGTTCAAAAAGAAACCTCAACCCTACGCAACTCCTTCAGGATGTATAGGAATGACAATCGTGAGCCAGGTCTTCTCATCCAACATCCTAGTCTCTGTACCCCAACATCCTGCAACCGCTGTGCCATTACTAGGCATAGCCAGGGCCCCCCAATATCAGGCACGAACAGGACCCCCCGATATCAGATGCAGCCAGGGCAACCATTACTAGTGTAGGGAACTGTTATTTTATACACTAGTTGTGGTTTGTTTACATTCATATACAGCCACTACCATAGAGGTCCCATTACAGACAAGTCCCTAGGTGTGCTTCCTGCCCCTGCAAGGAGGTCAAGAAACCCCAGGATGTTATATAGTTTGTTTTACAGGAAGTATCAGGCAGAGGGTGCCAGCCTGCCATGTGCTGTGTATCTGGGGAGAACTGTATGGGGATTCTGTGAGTAATGATCCAGATTAACAAGGCTGCTATCGATCTAGTTGTTACTGAAGCAGATTAGGTCTGCCTCTGTTCTATATCAACTTCTGCATTTGAACCCTAATATCTCTGTAAGAGAGAGATTTGTGGTTCATTATCATTATTCTATTTACACGCTGCAGAATCCTTATAGTTGTCTATATTATATATATATATATATATATATATATATATATATATATATATAGATAGATCAGTGTTTTCACCTGCATCAGACTGTCAGGTGAACCTTCTGTTAATTGCAGTGTATCTTTGCAGCTTCTTTGCTTAAAGCCATAGCATCCTTATTGGTCTGGATCTCCCTTTAGCTAGGATTAGCATAGGGAGCGTTGGATAGATTAGGCTAGAGCAGTGTTTCTCAACTCCAGTCCTCATGGACCCCCAACAGGTCATGTTTTCAGGATTTCCATTATTTTGCACAGGTGATTTGATCAGTTTCACTGCCTTAGTAATTACCACAGCTGTTTCATCTGAGGGAAATCCTGAAAACATGACCTGTTGGGGGTCCATGAGGACTGGAGTTGAGAAACACTGGGCTAGAGGTAGGTTAGGCATCCGACGGCCACTTAGACAGATAGAGGCCCGGTTGCGGTGACAGCCCAGTTTAGGGATAGGGACTAAGAGTAAGGAGAGATAGGGCATTTTATATTTTTAGGTGATGCATCGCTGATCTTCAGACAAGCAGTGCAATCATCCGCATAGAACGTGTTACTTGGACGCCATCGCAGCATCTGAAGTGGAAGCGTGCATCTTATTGACTCTCACCTCTCCAGGGGCCCCTGCAACCGACTGCGCTATAACCCATGGTTGGAGGTATTCTGTATACCACATGCACATATACCTGGGTATAATTGCAACCTCCCAATTTATGGTAAATTGTAATTCCTGAATGTTATTCTTATGCATCCTGTTTTATGTGGCTGCTTTATATAAACTTTGCATTAATCTCATACAGGTGTGGTGACATGTTTTCATGTTAGAAATATAAGCTGGGTGCATTAATACTGCTATGTATAGTTACTTTAAGTTGTCTACCTGTTAAATTCCTAGAAAGGGGTGAGTCTCCTCAATTGCAGGATCCCTATTCTAGGTGGAGGCACTGCCATTTGTATTATCACAACCCCCCTTCCATATAGCGAAGGCTCAGGATTGTCTACTCATATACAGGTTAGCGCCATAGCTTGTTTGGTGTGGGCCATTTCACATAACCCCCCCCCCCCCCAAACAGGGCTACACTAAGTATAGCCAGGGCCCCCCAATATCATATGCAGCCAGAGACCCCCAATATTAGGAACAGCCGTGGCCCCTAATATCAGCTGCAGCCAGAGTCCCCCAATACCAGGTACAGCCAGGGCCCTCACATTCAGGTAAAGCCTGCATCCTTTATAATAGGCACACCCCCTATATTACAGCCCCCCCTGATCCCACTAACAATCAGACATTTGTGTTGGTAAACATTAAGGCAGTTATATAAATAGAGGTTTGTTGTTTTTGTTTTTTCCAGCAGTTAGTGCAAGGCCATGTCCGTTACCATAACAACCTGGTAGCTTGGTCACGTGACTGATGACATCCCAGTGTCACTACGGCTCAGATTTTCAGACTGCAGCGCTGCAGACAGCCAGCGTCAGTTAACAGGAGATGGGAGAGGAGAGTATATCTACTGTGCGATTTGGGAGCAACCATGAGAAACTACCGGATTATCGCTTGCGGTTTTTTGGCCGTTCTTATAGGATCGTCCAGTGTCAGCGATGTACAGTCAGATGGTCAGGTTATTTTATACTTTTTTTTTATATGTTAAAATAAATCTGGGAATATATTTAAAAAATAGATATTTTTTTAAATATATTTTTAAAATATATTCTTCAGATTTTTTTAACATTTAAAAAAGTAATTTTAACATCTATTTGTAAATGCATTCCAAAAATGTAAATTTGTATTTTTAAAGACATACAGTATATTGGAAATGTATTTTTAAAAATAGTTTTCATATATGTTGTAATACAAACACATTTCAACATGCAGTGTATATATATATATATATATATATATATATATATATATATATATACCGCGTTACCCCGAAAATAAAACATCCTCCGAAAATAAGACCTACTTACAGGTTTCCTTCTGGGTAAAATGTAAGGCATCCCCCCAAAAATAAGGCCCCCCTAGGCTCTGTCTCGGAATGAAAATTAATTTACCGTAAACTGGTTGCTAGGGCCGCCCCGACTGGCGTCTAGCAACCAGTGACGTTACGCGGATTCCCCCCTCTGATCCCCCCTGTGTCATTTTAAGTGATCCCCGTCCCCCCACTGTACCGTATACAGGTAATAAATTTCCTTTATTTTCATTTAATAAATATGTACCGTATTCTTCTTCATGGAAAAATAAGACATCCCCTGAAAATAAGACCTAGCGAATCTTTGGGAGCAAAAATTAATATAAGACACTGTCTTATTTTCGGGGAAACACGGTATATATATATATATATATATATATAGTATTGTTACTGTATTGTCTCATGTACTGTCCCCCAGTATAATGTACAGCGCTGAGCAAACTTTTTGCCGCTATATATAAATACTGTATAATAATAATATATAGATAGATATAGATAGATATATTTAGGTTTTGTTTAAATATATTGAATACGGCCAAAATTGTAGCATTTCAAATACAGTTGCAAGAAAAAGTATGTGAACCCCTTGGGATTACGTGGAGTTTTGCATGAATTGGGCATAAAATGTGCTCTGAACGTCATCTAAGTCACAACAATAGAAGAACACAGTCTGCTGAACATAATACTACACAAACAGTAGATGTTGCCATGGTTTAACTGCACATAACATGTAAAACATTCACAGTGCAGGGAGGAAAAAGTATGTGAGGCCCTAGCTTAATGACTTCTCCCAGAGCTAATTGGAGCCAGGAGTGAGCCAACCTTGACTCCAATCAGTGTGATGATATTGGATGTGTTGCTGACAGCTGTCCTGCCCTTAAAAAACACACACCTGTTTTGGGTTTACTGGTTTCAAGAAGCACTGTCTGATGTGAACCATGCCTCGCAGAAAAGAGCTCTCAGAAGACCTACGATCAAGAATTGTTGACTTGCATGAAGCTGGAAAGGGTTACAAAAGTATCTCCAAAAGCCTTGATGTTCATGTGTCCACGGTAAGACAGACTGTCTACAAATGGAGAAAGTTTAGCACTGTTGTTACTCTCCCTAGGCATGGTCGTCCTGTAAAAATGACTGCAAGAGCACAGCGCAGAATGCTGCATGAGGTAAAGAAGAATCCCAGAGTGTCAGCTAAAGACCTACAGAAATCTCTGGCACATGCTAACATTTTTGTTGACACATCTACAATAAGGAAAACATTAAACAAGAATGGAGTACATGGGAGGACACCACGGAGGAAGCCATTGCTGTCCAAAAAGAATATTGCAGCACGTTTGAAGTTTGCAAAAGAGCACCTGGATGTTCCACAGCACTACTGGCAAAATATACTGTGGACAGATGAAACCAAGATTGAGTTGTTTGGGAAGAACACACAACACTATGTGTGGAGAAAAAAAGGCACAGCACACCAACATCAAAACCTCATCCCCACTGTAAAACATGGCGGAGGGAGCATCATAGTATGGGGCTGCTTTGCTGCCTCAGGGCCTGGACGGATTGTTGTCATTTATGGGAAAATTAATTCCAGAGTTTATCAAGACATTTTGCAGGAAAACGTACGACCATCTGTCCGCCAACTGAAGCTCTGCAGAGGATGGGTGATGCAACAGGACAATAACCCAAAGCATACAAGTAATTCAACAAAACAATGGCTGCAACAGCACAGAATACGCCTTCTGGAGTGGCCCAGTCAGAGTCCTGACCTCAACCCGATTGAAATGCTGTGGCATGACCTTAAGAGAGCGATTCACACAGGACATCCCAAGAATATTGCTACACTGAAACAGTTTTGTGAAGAGGAGTGGTCCAAAATTACTCCAGATCGTTGTGCAGGCCTGATCTGCAACTACAGGAAACGTTTGGTTGAGGTTATTGCTGCCAAAGGAGGGTCAACCAGTTATTAAGTAAAAGGATCACATACTTTTTCCTCCCTGCACTGTGAATGTTTACATGTTATGTGCAATTAAACCATGGCAACATCTAATGTTTGTGTAGTATTATGTTCAGCAGACTGTGTTCTTCTATTGTTGTGACTTAGATGACATTCAGAGCACATTTTATGCCCAATTCATGCAAAACTCCACATAATCCCAACGGGTTCACATA